ATAGTTCACTGAACATTACTACATGTATGTTTTACTTATGTAACAGTTCACTGAACATTACTACATGTATGTTTTACTTATGTAACAGTTCACTGAACATTGCTACTGTATGTATGTTTTACTTATGTAACAGTTCACTGAACATTACTACATGTATGTTTTACTTATGTAACAGTTCACTGAACATTACTACACGTATTTATTATATTTTATTTTCCAGCTGAAGTTGAACAGATTTACGTGGTCAAGTTTGAAAGATCAATATCAAGACCTGTTTAATGTTTAACGCTTTGATTTTAGGTAAGTAAAATAGATTCTGTAGATAATGTCTTCGTTAATACCTTCTAGTGAAATCTGATTAATGTGATTCAGTTTAAGTAATAAAACAATGGGAAGTGTTAACTAGCTAACAGAATCACCTTGTTTGAAGATCTAACTATACTTTGACTGTAAATTTAAACTTCATAAACATTGTTTTGGTTTTAATAATGGATTTTTCCTTAATTCAGCTATGCAGATTTCGAAAATAATATTTTTTCTATCACATAAGGATTTTTTACAAATCAGGAAGAAAAAAAAACTGTTACTTAGATCAAATTATTATTTCATGTACCACAATGAACATTTTCTATTATTGTTTGGCAACAAAAATACAAACAAGCTGAAGAAAAGGGAAAAACATTGATGTCAAAGGAATGTGCATACACATTCATCCCGATTCTTTTTGTGAAGTCTGTATCTTTTCGTCTCAAAACTACGTGTTGTGGTCTTAATTTACATATTGTATCTGGAGCATCTTGTTTCAATGACCAGCAGTAATCAGCCATCATGCTGATGTTCCACCTTCCCTGGTACCTCCTCTACATTTCCCTGATGTCTTGATGAAACCGTTCCCCTTGTTCTTCACTGATGGCACCAAAAGGTTCAGGGAAATAGTCAATATGTGAATATAAAAAATGAACTTTCAAGCTCATATTACAACCCAACTCTTTGGAATTATCGAGCATGTTATTGACAATATTTTCGTAATTTGGGTCTTTGTTGTTTCCTAAAAATTTGTCAATAACATCTTTAAAGGCAATCCACGCTTCTTTTTCAATTTTCCTCATTGTTCTTTTGAATTATTCATCCAAAGTCAATTTCCTAATCTGAGGCCCAACAAAAATTACTTCTTTAATTTTGCTTCTGAAAGGGCTGGGAATTGCCCACATAGATACTTGAAACAGTCGCCATCTTTGTCTAAGGCCTTTACAAACAGCTTCATCAAGTCCAGTTTTGTGTGAAGTGGAGATAATAGGACTTTCTTTGCATCAACCAAACTTTCATGTTCAATCAATGTTTTTCGATCCTGGTATCAGGCTGATTCTGCATGGCCACTGCTTCTTTATCCAGTGCTGATTTCATGCTCTGCCATCCCATTCACACAAAAACATACAAAGGACTTTTAAGTATCGACAAAGTAGCCAACCATGTTCTTTGTATTTGACCTGATTAAGAAGCTTGAGATTTTCCTATGTTTCCTTCAAGTGAACCAAATGAGCCATAGGAACAGATGCCTATATGTTACCATTGTGAAGAAGAACACCTTTTAGACTTCTTCTGGAGGAATCAGTGAACAATCACCACTCACTTGGTTCATAGACTGCAGCTCCTAGCATTGGTATTAATTCAGCAATATTGTTGCTATAAACCAGTGAACTTTCTTGCAAAAAGTATGGTATAAACTCTTTCTCACGATTTCTGTACCAGTAAAATGATGTCCCTGGAGAAAGTCAGTTCTTAGCCTGAAGTCTGGACCTCAAAATCTCTGAAGAATCCTTTGGAAGGCCCAAATCTCTC